CCAGTAGGAAGCTAAACTATTGATCCACAAACAATTTAGCTGTCCAGCTGTCCAGAGAGAGGGAAAACAGGACGCCTCCAATTGTATAATGAGGGCGAGGGCTCAGTATTCGCTTCACGTGCCAGGAGGCCTTCGCCTTTGGGCTCTCTCCGCGATTAGCTTTCCATCCGTGCACTTCTTCTCACACGTACAGTCCCTCCCAGAGAAAGGCTAAAGGTCAGTCAGCTAAAGAACTAGCATGCTTCTCACCAAGGACGTTTCTGATTAGTGTGAGAAGGGTCTCGACCCCCCGTGGGCCTTTCATTCATTTTCAACCCGCAGCTGATGCAGGGGTCATGACTCCAGTCGAGTATCTCAGTAACGTCGTAAACAGCAGCCATCACTAAGGTGACAGTATATCTGAATGGTGATGGGGTAAGATGAGGAATGTTCTGGTTGTTCGTGGGAGCCTTGCATGCTGAACTAGCATGTAGATAAAGTTACGTCTTCCACACTCGGTCCCAGCGCCATGGCAACCGGCTTGCTCAAAGGCCCCAAGAGTGGCTCGGCCCCGAGGAGAAAGACGGTTCTTTGCCTAATTGGACAGTTCCCCGCACCATCGGGCTTCTTCTTTATCCCCAGCACTATAAGATGTAGAAGCTACAGTAAGCTTTCACAATCCCATGATGAACACAGATTAAATAGGATTAAAACCAAAACAATGCGGCCCATTACTGAGAATGTGAATGGCGATGGATACAAACGTAAAGTTAACTTTGAAATGATGCTAAGTACCAGCTTTCGTGGGAAGATTATGGAATAAATTACTGTCAGATGGGATATGGCTGTGCGCGTAGTTTTACCGGCAACAAAGGTGATTATTTCTGTTCCAACCTTTAATCGTCCAAAACGTCCCCTCTATTCCACACAAAAGACAGCTCTTCTTTCTGCAGCTTGCTCAAAGGTATCATGATCCCATCAAGATAACGTGTCTTTTGACGCCATGAAAGGAAGAGAAATATCTGAACAGACGAGGAAACACAAACACAAACACTCCGGCTGAAATCCCAGGGAATAAATGAGACACGCCAACGATTTCAGATGCATGAAATTTAAAAAAAAAAAGCACACAGCGTTGTCGCTTCTCACCGGCCCTGTAAACAACGTATGTGACTGCGATCTGTAAAAACAGATGGCATTAAACTCCACAACACTGTCTTTCTGCTTCTTATCTCCAATAAATACGAAGCTCTTTAGTACGAGTCGACAATTAACTAGCTGATGAGCACGCGAGTCGAGATACTACGGCGGAAACTGAATGCATGTCGATGAAGACGGATACGGTTTGCTCTGCTCATAAGAAAACAAACGGTTGTTTTTCTGCTGTTATCGGAATGTAGAAAGACAAATGTTATCTCGAGATAATCTCAAAAATCTCATCGTGCCGTGTATAAATAAGGAGGCAAAGGGCACACATTTGTAATCTTTCTTTTAATGAGTTCATTATTCCCAAAAGATTTACTGCGATTCTGGAGTCCAAAAATAGCGACAAATCAGACAAAAGAAGGGAAAACTTGTCATATATGACCTCGTTAATTGGTCTTAGAAGAAGCGAAAATGATCTAGTAACCTAAATCGATCAGAAATGTTTATGTTTTTACTCTCGATATGTTCAAAATGTGATTTTGAGGCGTTGAACCCTTTATTTATAACAAATGTCTCATCATTAAACGTGTACCCATTTGGAGATAACAGTCTGACGACATTGATCAATGTCAATTTATTTCCCCCATGAGTGACAGGGGGAGATGCCAGGTCATTTCCTGTTTGTTCAGCCCATATTATCTTAATGGAAATGCAGTAATGAGACATCACTTTTGCAGATGGACCAACCGTAGGAGCCAGAGAGGAAGCTCGGTACCTTATCAACAGATAAAAAGCAGGGGAACAGATTGTCCCGTAATATAAGACACTTTAAGTTACAGCTTTAAGTAATTTAATCCTAAACTTTTTTCTTTTGTCAGTAAATAAATAAAAAAAATTCTCCAGGAGCTTTAATGCTATAAATAGACAAAAGCCATCAGTCGAAATCAAATATACCTATTTTTACCTCCAGCATTTTGCTGCTTGTGGGCAAAGCAGCAGAATGCCATTTATGAGCCGTGTTTCTAATCGCAGATACAAATCTTGGAAGATGAGCCGCATACAGGCCGTTATGCGCGCACACGCTAAAACAACTTTAATCCATCGTGGCTGAATAATTAGTCATTTGTACTCTGCCTTTATGAGCAACTTAACTCCTGAAGGGCTGCGAGCAACTATTTTAGATCGCTGGGTTCATCCAGAAACAGAACATCAGCCCAGGAAACAAAACCGTACTTACTTAAGGTAACGAACTAGAAAACTTTGACTGCACGCAGGGGCAGGGAGCGGGAAGCGGTCCACACTGGCAGCATCACTGGCAGGTCTCGTGCAAACTGTATTCAGACAGCCAGAGATGGCAGATGGGGACTGAGGGGCCTTTTCTCCTCCGCAGGCATGAACAGAGGACAGTTCTGTCTCCAGGCAAACATAGAAGACGTCATGTCTCTGCCTCACTGCCGTACCATTAGTGGGCCATCGCGATTGATCGCCGGTGCGTGAATTGCTGAGCAATCTAAAGGAAGTATTAAGGCGAGGGAGCATCACATGTTTTGTCAGCAGGATAGAGAGAAGCGCTTGTGCAGGCAGTGAAAACCGTCGCAGCAATCAGGGCTTGTGTGTCTGCACACAAACGTCCACGTGCATAGGCCGTCTCGTGTTGCTGTAAGCTCTCCTAGTGCATTCAGCTTGCCAGTGAAACAAGCCCACGGGACGTATTGTCTCCAGCCCGACCGGCGCTGATTTCCATTTCCCTGTCGCTGGCAAAAGCCAACGATGCCAATCAGTTTAAAGTCTGCCCTAAAAATCGCACGCCAGATCTTTTCCCCTCTTTAGCTAATGCTTTGAAACTTTGCCCACGAATTAGTCACCCGGGGCTCAGAAGGACATCTGGAAACAAATCTAATTGTGTCAAACAATCAACAAATAAAACATTCTTGCATGGCGAACATCCAAGGTTTAGCTTTGAGCGCTAAGATAATGCGGCTTGTATCATGGCTTTAAATGAATTGAAAAGTCATTGTCTTTGCGGTTGTATATATACACAAATATACCTTTTAGCCCGTCTACGGTTGAGGCTATGACAAATAGGTGGACGGCTGGAGTTGTTTGACACTAATGGAGGCTGAGCCTTGAAATGCATCACAGAACAGCAACATGCAGCGGTGCACTGCGTTACATAAACAGCTCCCCGCCATGCAGTCCACTCACAGCCAATGTGCCGGCAGGGAACAGCTCATTGCAAAATTCAAAACGCTACATTCAGACATGTCTCTTTATTGCAGCGTGGAAGATGAAAAATGTAAGATGATGCCTTTCGTGGAGTAGGTCAGCCTACTTCTGAACCGAGTAAATTCATTCACCTAGCATGAAGGGGAGGGGGGGGGGGGGGGGGCTGTCCTCAGGGTGTACACAGGACAGCACAGGATGCATTAGCAGCAGCCAAGCTTACAGGACTCATAAAGTGCTCCACCTGACAGGCGCCCACGGAGTCCCTCTGACATTGTGTGACACGTTTACGGATCTGATTCAATCGGGAAAAATACACGGCGAAGAATTTCACACGTGGCAAACGAGCGGCGAATTGCTGGAAAAACCTTTAGCTGTACAGACAATCGATCATTTATTTGGTACAAGCACGTGAATACAAGAGACCAGGTGCTGGTTCAGACAGAGCTGCCCGTCCATCACACAAGCAGCAGAGCAGAGATGTCCATGAGGCATCATAATTCCCTGTGAATTTACAGGGATCGATCGCGGCATTAATCACAAGCGTTATTAGACCACAGGGGAAACTTGTGGCTGCTTAAATCATGCTCTGCTGTCTGCTGCAGGGAGCTGTGCTAAACCAAGCCATCAGTTAACAGCGCCGCGAAAAACATAACTGCAAATGTTGTGATGATACAAGAGGAAATATTGACTTGGGTGCAGCTGTTAATGTGAATGACCTCCATAGATGCAGAGAACCATTGTAATATTTAAGACTCACATCTGGGACTTATAGTTGAATGGTTTCTTTCAGGCTTCCACCATCCCATTTTTCTACTCACACCAATAAGCGAGCTGTTATGAAAAAAAAGAATAACTAGTAAAAAAACAGACCCCCCTTAGTAATCTCAGTAAAGGACTTAAACATTACTCCAGCAACATGTAGCGTGAAGGGTTTCTCCCCACTGAAGCCTTCGCCTGGTGAGCGAGGACGCGCCCATGACACCTTGCCTCCTTGTCTCCTTGCACCTGACGTCCTGACAGAACCACCATGCGATGGGAAACAAACACTGAGGCCTGTGCGGCTTATGCTGCCGGTACTGATGACAGAGCCCCCGGCCATATCGATCATGGCACGAGCACCAGTAGCGTGCAGGTGAGCTCCACCGCAGATCTTCTGGCTGTGAGGCGGTGCCATCAGGCTGCAGCTGAGCAGGTCTGCTCAAGTTAAATACCCAGACGCGTTGCTGTAAAGTCGAAATGCATCCTTACATCCGCTCTGTGCATCGACTTATTTTATTTATTTTTTTATTTCGGGGGGATTGGGGGGGTGGGGGGTGCATGCCAGCGATACGCAGCGGATCGTGTTGCAGCACCACCCCGACCCCGCCGACATGTCACCTATTCTGCACACACAGGACGTCTCCTCGTCTGTCGATGAGACACGCACGCACGCACAATAATTTAAAAAAAAGCCAGTTTCCTGACTCGCGTCGCCCGGTTCTGCATTGCGGAGGGCAGCGCGAGCCTCCATCCCACCCCGCGCGCACCCCGCTCGCTCCGCTGTAAACAGCGCCGATGTCCCAGCTGTCAGAACGACAACGCCGCGCTCCTCCGATCAAAACACTCCGTCCGCCCGGTGTCCCCCGTCGAGCCGGCGCTCACGTCCTTACCTTCCGTAGAGGGCGTCCGCGTGTCCTTCACGACGCTCGCGCCTCGCTCAGCACCGCATCGCCGGGCGCAGGAGAGGCGGAATCAAGTGGCGGAGCCGCGGTCCCGTCCCCGTGGATTGGATGGAGGGTTATGGCTCGAGACTTAGGGGGGCGCTAGACCGGCGTGTTGTCCACGCGGCGCCGTGGAGCAGCGGATCGCACGCTGGTGTCCGGTTCCCACTGCGCTCTTTTAATGTGTCACGTGACACGTGGTCCGGCGGTATTTATCGATGTTGTAGTGGAAGATTAAAGTGACTTCTTTTTAAACTCGTGTCTGTTAAATGGGGGTGATTATCTCATGGTGGAAGGCTTAAGTGCACATAAGTGTAACGTGATATCAGGTTGGATTCATGCACTCTTGGTTTGAGGGGTCTTTTCATGAAAGGGCCCAATGTGGAATCACAACATGTATTTAATGTTGGAGATCCATTCCATGTCAAAGTTTAATAGTTCTAATATAAGTGTTTCTTATCTAATGTTATTGAATGCTTTTTACTAAGTTACCCAAAACCTGCCCCTTGTATTTTTGAGAGTATTATTGACAACTTATTCTCATTTAGCAAACAGCTGTCTACCTGAAATAGAGACCAGGTCATGTGTTGTTTTCAGGCCTTCTGACGAATATCAGCCTCCTTTTAGCTCCTTTGGTCTCCACTGACTCCTGGAAACATATCTGGGTCTTTTGATAGAAGCTTTACTTTGTTCTCTGTCAATTTGCTAAGTCTTACTTTGTCGTTTGGTGATGGGCAGAGAGCATGAAGCGAGTTTATCAGAGCTTTGTTTCCGTAATGGCAGTTGATGATAAGAGCTGCTGGAACTCAATCGTACATTCAATTTGCAGTCATAAAAGGGGGAGACAAAGCTTCATAGAGACACACGCGGCTTTTTACACTGTTTCTTTTGTTCAGTATTAATATCAAAATAGGAATAGAGCTATCTTAAATTGTGCCTTATCTTCACCAATGTACGAATGTTTTTGTCAATTGTTGCTTCAAAAAGGAAAAAAAAACATTTGTGCACAAAAAAAAAGAACATTCTGGCCGCTTTATTTTCTTTCTTTGAAATCAATTGCGAGTTTCCTTGGCTGTGTTTTGGGGATCATTGTCTTGTTTCATCTTCAATCTGGCAGCAGATTTTTATCAAGAATGTCTCGTTCCATTTTTCCATTCATCCTTCCTTCAATTATACTTTAAGTTTGCCAGTGCCGTTTGCTGAAAAACCGGCCCACACTTTCTGTTCCCAGCTCCGAGCCTCACTATCGGTGTTTTTGGGTGGGATGTGCGCTGCCCTTTGACCTCCAAACATGGTGAGTATTATGGCACCATTGCTCTCATCTGACCTTAGCAATGAGTGTTGTGTGGTGGCAAACAGGCCGCGGGGGTTGAGTGCTTTACTTATTGTAAAGAAAATTCATTTCAATAGATCCTTTAGAAATACATTTACTGAGAAAACCGGTGACGCGTTATTTTACCCGCTGTACATGCCGCTATGTTCATCGGCTCACAGCAATGAGAAGCTCGTGCTCCTTTGGTCACGTGATGTTTCATCTACAACGACAAGATCGCACAACGTTTTGTTTAATCCTTCCCGTGTGCAGCCACAGGAACATCTTTAGAAAGGGGCGTTTTCGAAAATGCTGTCCAAATGTATTCACCTCTCGTTTCGTTCCCTTCCAGTGTTTCTAGCAGCAGTTCAAGTTTCAGAGACAGAAATCTCCAAACATGAGCAGATAAATCTATTTTGCATGACTACACCCCGGATGAGATATGAGTGACACTGCAGCCTGAATTTTAACCATTGCCACGTTTTTCACCCAGCGGATATCAAAAGGGCACCTCTGATAATTACAACGCCTCGCCGTGTGTCTGTCTAAACATGAGGCCGTCTCGACCCCTTGGGATTTAGATTTAAATCTTGGATGTAAACACCACACGGCAAATAATAATCTGCTGTGGCGGCGGCGCATAAATAATGCAGGAATGTTTGAGAAAGAAGAGGGTAGAACTAATTGAGGGCCCAAGCCCTGTTGGATGATATTGGGGGAACATATCAAAGAAAATATCTACCGACTTTACATGAAGGATGTAACTCCATCTCGCTTATATTGTTGCTCCCTGAGGCCATTGTTATCATCATGAATTTCTTTTTGAGATGGGAACTGCTGTTAATACACAATAAAGAAAACACACTATCTTATTTGAAAAACACGTCCCTCTGCAGAAAATAGCCGAGCCGCAGGGATTTCAGCCACACTAAGGAAACACATGAAATCCAAATAGAGCAGCATAGTACAGGCCCCAAAAGGATGTTATTTTGCATGCGGGTTATATCAGACTTTTGTTCCTCTTACAACATGCCAGAGCAAATAGAGACAGTTCCTGCTGGCGAATAACACTGTTACAATGCCCGTCTCAGCGGTGGATAAGAGGAACAGCAAACACCCTGCTGTCTGGAGGAGAGAATGGGTGGCTGTCATCTATCCGCCTGGCGGAGCAGGAGGAAGGAGAGGGAGGGGTGAGGGTAAATATGATTTAGCCCCAATGATCTCCACGGGGGGTCTCATGCAAAGGTAACCCCCACCCACTCGGTCCAAATACACATGGGACATGGGGGGGGAGGGGGGTGCATGGGGAATAGGAATGGGAAAGAAAGGCCGGGAAGAAACTATAATCCTGCTGCTATCATGATAAAAAAGGGGGGAGGAGGTTTATTTAGAGTATCAGATCCTCAGAACAAAGCACTCTTACTTTATGGAGCATCCATGTGACGGGACTGCAAGATATCTGCCCCCAAATCAGCTCATTCCCGTCCCTCTTAGAAATAACATCCTCCTAATCTGCTATTCGGCCTCCAAACGTCCTGACAGATCTGTGTGTGCATAGGTGAGTGTGTGTGTGTGTGTGTGTGTGTGTGTGAGTTTGCTTTGCAAAGCATTCGTCAGCCATATGGAAATGCCACAGAGTAATCACAAACAATTATCCCCCCCCAGCTCTGAGAGCGTCAGGAAAGGGCAAATCTCCATAACGACACAAAGGCCCTGCCACTCACATCTAAGAAAGAGACGGCCAGGAGCCCGGTGCACACTTGAGGAATTTAGGAAGTAAACAATGGTGTTTTTCTGTTACCTGTCTCTGACGTCTTGTTGTTTTTCTACATGGTGTCTTATTGGGGAGCTCGTAGCAGCTGAAAGATCATGTCCTCCACTTGAGCATCTGGTATGCAAATGATGGGCTTTAAAGCTCCCAGGATGTTTGGAGACAGAACATCCACGCGTGACCATGTGACGGTCTCGTTCCCCCGTTGGAAGCAGATGGGAGGAAGACATAAAACCAGCCATAGATCACTTGAGACCAGGCTTTCCGCCCAGCAGTGAATCAAGGAGCTGGACTCAGAGGAGGTGGGAGCGGGTAATGGATGGGCAATGGCGGACACACAGCCCACCCTGAATCCAATCCACTGAGTATTGGATGAGGAATGAGTGGATGGAGGGGGGGTGGAGCGGCAGGGAGGAGGGGCAGGTGGAGTTCAGAGGGGTAATGGGGCAGCTGCCTGTTTGGTCTCAATCATCAGCCATCGACGGACAGATAATGTGATTCTGTTGCCATGAAAGTAAATAGCCGGAGCCTTTTACCGGAAGCATTTGTAATTGAGCAGTAGGGATGTCAAGGGAAGGCCAAACAAATTCATAGGCTGCCGGCTTACATTTATCGGGTAATTGAGTATATTGTGATTCGAATACAGTTAATATTTTTTTTCAGTGTGAAATTGCCTCCCAAGGATATCGACAAATGATTTGCCTTGCGTGACATTTCCTATTCAATGTTTGGGAGGCCTGTTGCTTGTTTAAAGCCATCGGTGTAATTGCCTGACATCACTAGGTGGCAGTAAAGTCAAGAGGAAGAGTCAAGTTGATGACTCCTCTTCCAGTAGCTGATCATTGCTGCTGAGGGTGACGCCGATGCAATCATCTTCCATAAAACTACCTTTGGCTTTCATGGTGGAAAAGGAAAAACTTCATCAAGCCGAGCTCATTAATATGCGTAGCGGCAATGCATCGCTGCTGTTATTGACTGCAAACCATCCTGCAAAGAATCCCCAAACAGCTTTACCTGGGAAAGTGAATTCAAGTGCTTGAACAGCTACGCTAAAAGTCCTCGCCAGAGGGAGAGAAAAGATTTCCCAGACTATTCCAGACTTCCCCGCTTCCTGACACCATCGCTGTGTTATAATGCTCCAGATGGCGAACGGGTCCCTCGCTATTACCCTGACAATATGACTGTAATGGGAGTGGAAGTGCCACAAGTCCAGCCAAAAAGATGGAGCCCAACTGTGGTCCCATAAGGCCTTTATGTAGCTGCTTCACACTAAGGAGACTGGTGTGGTTGTGTGCATTTGTACGTTTGTCTTCCTTTATTGTTCCTACAATAAAGTTCAGGAGCGGCGATCCCATCCCACTCTTGTACTATGTATTCCAGGCACGTGCTACCGGAGATGGTGTTGGTCCAATGCCAACACAACCACACTGACAGTGGTGGGAAGTCATTGGATTAACAGTGTATTGAATTTAAGCACAATTTGAAGGCACACTACTTGACAATTTCAATTTGACGCTATTACACAATTATTTCCCACTACAAAAAGTCTTCCTGCCCTTTATTTGTTTGACAGGTGTAATTATTTGTTCTGCATTATATTATTTTTAAAATATATATAATAGACTAAATAGCTCCTCTAAAGCCAGATTTACATTTCTCTAATGGTTTCAGTTCAAAAATAGTTTTAGGCCCAAAGAAGTAAAACCCTCTTTTTCAACCCTCTTCAAAACAAGTAGCAGTAATGAGTTTTTCTGCCCTTTATACTGGGGGATTTTTTGTTAGAATAAATGGTTTTCATTGTACTCACTGAATCATAACTCACTGAACCAAACAACTGAGAGAAAGGAAGAAAGTTTTTAAATTTAATCGGATAATTATTTATTCATTCATTATATTTCCAGTAACTTCAAATTCATACTTGCACTAAAAAGGAGAAACTTAAATAAAGACAAAGAAAATATCCGTTAGTACAAATCTGTTTCTTAAATACAAAACCATATGCAATACTGTCAGAAAAGGGCATCGATTTGGCAGTAAACGTCGACTGCATAGAACCAATTTAAATCAGAGTAATATAGTTCTGTGGATCAATTAATATTGTGGCTAAATACTACACGTTGTACAATAACCAAAGTCATAAACTCGCTGACAAGCAAATCAGAAAACGATCAAATTTATATTCAATTTTCTGTCCAGTTAGTTACAATGTACACTGTGCACAGCAAAAAAAGAATATATATATATATATATATATATATATATACATATACATATATATATATATTCTACAAGTACTCTATATTTAATACAGTCCTATCAACAAGTTAAACCATTTCATGCACAATATTGCCCTAAAAGCTGTTTGTACCTGTACAATCAATTAAGGTATTTACAAATTCAACAGATATTCTACACGTCATTAAGAAAAAAAAACTTGATGCAAGTTAAGAGAAAATAAGTCTGGATTCCATCCAAAGGCCCTCAAGTGTAGTTAGTACAAGAGACCGATCTTTGCCTAAAAGGAACTGAATCATGTGTAGTATTCGCCCACTCAGATACCCATGCATTTGTACACTGCAGGAAACACGTTGTGCACACAATGACTGCAAACTTTGTGAATGCAGCAGACGTGGTTTTAACCATGTTTGAGTCTGATCCGATTTAGGTGCCCTTCTTGGAGGAATCAAAGCCAGTCCTGGGTCTCAAGGCATTGGGACATCTTTACAAAAAAAAAAAAGAGATAACAAGAGTATGTGAATTATTCCTTCCCCCAGAGTCCTCTTCTCAAGCTTATCTGATCCTTGCTTGGATGTGACTTCTGCAGTCACACTGCCGGCTCCGTTCCCATCGCTGGGCTCCGGGGAAGAGACTCGATGGATGGATGCTTTGGAGAAAAGGCACTACCAGCTGAAGGAGGGCTGCAGGGACCGACCTCGGCATTTCCCAATGGCCGGATCAAGCTCAATAGGTAGAGGTTACATGCAGGGCAAAGGTCATGAGGTCACATGACCTTAGCACGCCATGCAGCATTTCAGCGTCCTCCTTCATAGGTGCAGTTCCATCAGCCAACAGAGTGGAGACAAATCAGGATGCACCATTGCAGAGATCTCAATCATGGTTTGTGCACTGCCCCCAATATTTATCAGTTTACAGATAGTTCATTTCATATATATATATATATATATATATATATATATATATATATATATATATATACACACAGACACTGTACATTGGCCTTGTGCACTGATGGAATTACATGAAGGAAATGACTTCATTTTATACAGATTCCAGTCCAAGCTTCTTTGTTGAAAAAAACAACAACGTAAAAGTCATATACGTTAGACTTTGATTACTACTTGAACATAGTAGATAATATAATAACCTATGACAAAATCCAATATAGTTTCGCCGAGCACTGCAGAGTCCATAAGAGGTTTCCTTTAAGAATGATTCAATTGTAACTATAGAACTGTTGATTTAAATGTAGATTTGGGTCATATCAGGTGTTTCATGCATGTGCTGTTTAAATGAATTATCCGGTTGAGCTACTTCATTCCTACATGCTGCGTAGGGTATAATGAGCCACAGGTCTCCAAGCGCCTCCATAAAGACTTCCCGGTGAAAACCTAAATGTCTTAGGTGACTGGTGTGTATTTCGTGTTGGGACAGCCCGCTAAGAGAGACGTGGGGGATCGAGGCGTCCGTGCGGCCCCTCGCGCCGTCCGATTGAGCTACACGAATGAGTTGAGGGAGTTCATGGTGTTAATAGGGGACGGGGCCTCGGAGCTCTCGTGGCCCCCGGCCGTCTCCCTGCTGGCGCTCTTTCCACTATACTGGCCGATAAACGAGCCATCCTCGTTGAACTGTCCGTCTCCTCCTTCACCGTAGTCAACTAAACTGTCGTCACTGTCGTCCCTCTTAACTGTCCCATTAGACGGCGTGCGGCTCCCTTTTAACGGTTTATGGTCCTCATTGTCACTGAAGGAGAAAACAACATGCAGGTGTTACAGGTGAGATGATGAGACAGATGCAACAAGAGGATTAGCGACTGTTTTAGATGGAGCGCTGCTTGTTTTTTTACCAAAATCTACTGTACGTTTTGGTTGTGGCGAAAGATACAAAGCAATAAGTTGATTTGTTTCTTTAGCTTTGCCCCTTTTCCAAAGTGTAAACTCAGCTCGTGAATATTCAACAGTGAACCACTGCGCAGGAAGCAAATTGGAATTTCGCTTGCTCCACGTCTATAAAACAGTATGAATGATTATTTGGTTTCCATCAGGCAACAGGGGAATAAAGCTCAAGCGGCCATACCCGTGTCCAATTCCCCCCGAAACCAAGAATGAAGTGGTGAATGTATTGTATCACAAAAGCACCCCCCCCCCCCGGGGCCTGAGGTTTTGATGAAAGACAGGAAATCCAAGGCAATGACGTGAATAAAACTTGTAAAAGCAGCTTTCAGCCAAACATCCCCGGAAGCAAGCATGAGAAGAATCACAAATTGGCACAATGCACAAACAAATCTGCAAAGAAAGTTTTCTTTGTATATCAGATACATTCCACATACATGAGAGTTGAACATCAATGAGATAAGATCACAAAAGCCCTCATAATGATGATAAGTTTAAACATTTTGAATAGATACCAATCAATAAGCAGAAGTCTTTTTCAGGGGTAAAACTTGCACAGTTAATCCATTAAGGACATGATGAAGGCTTTATGACCGAATATTCAACTCGATGACAGAACCTGGGATGCTTATACGTTTTTCTCCACAGTGACTGGACTGTCCACTGACCCCCCCCCCCTTACCTTTCCTGAGACCCCCACCCTTTCGATCGGATGAGGATGATATCCTCACTGTGCACGCGCGCCGTGTGCACGTATAGTCTGCTGCAGTCCAACAAGAGCCGCTCGTTTGAGTGAATTGATGCTTTTACTGGCATACGGTACCGGTCAGTATACTCTCGCAAAGGCACTGTGATATTTGTACGCTTTGTCTTGGGAATTATTGTCTGCTTTGCTCTTCGAGTCAATTTCCACGTAGGAGATCTCGACATGAGATAAGCCTGGTAATGTCAATAAATCCCGTGAAAAAAAGCCACAATGACCTAATTCTGTAACTCTAATGTGGTGCTGGCGAATTGTCCAACATGTTTTTATAAAAAGAACATCTGTATCTTTTCTGCCGCTGACAACAAACACTATTTTTAGCAAGTTAGTTTCAAGCGGTTTTAGGAAATTGTTTGGCCTTTCAAAAAATGAATCATACAACATACATGTGATGTTTAAAAGAAATAAGATGTGGGTCTACAGTAGGAGTATTAGCTTGAAGGAAAACGAGCTGGATAAATGGCTACTGGTCTCATCCAAACAGCATATACCACCATACAAGATCCATATGCATCAATGTACCTTTTCATCTATATATGAACAATAATTCCATCCAACAAATTGCCTAGAGCTAATTTTCATGTATCAGATCGTCACACCATGCATGTCACATATTATATATATGTATCGATATGTTTTCATCACAGCATAGAATCCATCGAACACATTTATGTTTACATAATACAAAAACTAATAGCAAATATATAGGCAAGACCATTTTATAAATTGACGTATAAAAAAAGATGTAATAATAGCTATTCAGAAGTAAAGTGCTTCCTTTGTCTTTATTCTGCGTGCGATTGGAGAATCAGCCTGGACTGAGCTCTGGATAACGGCTGTAAGTCAGAAGAACCCTTCAGCCCCACCAGGGTTGTGTATGTACGTGAGTAGCAACACGTTAAACAACAGGGTGATGATTAGCGTAGTTTGGAATGGGAATCACTTCAGCGTGTGTTTCAAATGCTTCAAGCTTATATGTTGTATTAACAAAAGTCATGATTAAAGATTTAAAACACCTACAACCCCAAATTCTTTGAACCTGAAGAACCTTCAGCTGCTTAAACGACAAAACAATGTCATATCAAACACACACACACACACACACAATAGAGTCCGACACAACTGGCATCCCGGGGATCCCCCAGATACCAGAAAAGAAGAGAAAAGATTCTTGTGCTTCGCGGTGGTCGAGGCTCAGAAGAGGGTCACTTCTTTTTTCTCACTTGTTGGTCGGCTGTAAAGGTTGAGAGGAGCGAGTGCAGAGCTCCAGCCCAGCCAGAGAGAGCAGGAGTGGGGGCAAGGCAAGGAGGGGGGGCGGGGGGCGGGGGGGGGGAGGGTGGGTGTTGATGGGTAAAACGGGGCTCTGGGGTCTCCAGAGGCCGGAGCATCTCTCACCTGTATTCCCCAAAAGTACAGTCGTCGTCTTTCATTGGCTGGAACTCTGGGTCTGTGTGTGCGTCCTCCTTCTCTTTGACTGGCGGGAGAAGTGAGACGCCGTCAGAATGTGTGTGTGATATTGACAATGCATGTAAGTCGTTTCTGATTTTTCATTATTCAAACAGTGGCAAAAAAGCAGTAATGCAAACCAGTTAACCAGTTAAGACAAGAAACATTTGTTGGTACAACGTATGACACTGAAAACTCTCCTGATGTTATTCGAAAACACGCCGCAGATCAAATTCTTGTTAATGCGTAATGTCAAAATACAACAAAATACGTTTTAGGGAGAATCAAATTGCAGCTGTGACATTCCAGGAAAATTTCTCTCATCATCTTTTTGTCATTTTGTCACAAACACAAACTGCTATAAAAACACACCAATATCCCCCAAAGCATCACATGTCATCATAAACCAGTTGCAGAGATAATTGAATGGTAGCGAACAAAGCTTTTTAGGGTGGCTTTGTGTGTGCTTCTACTCACCAGGGTACTTTCCTCCCTTATTCCTCTGGATGAAGCAGATAATGAGGAGGATCAGGATGAGCAGAGCGATGGCACACATCAGGCCGATGAACCATCCCTGAGTGGCGATGTCCACCTGTCGGCTCGCCACAGCTGGCCGGAGGAGAGGAAGACTTAGCACGTAGGACGGGATGATGATATTTTCCTCCATTAGGACGGTAAAAAAGGCACATTCATCCACAATAGTGAGCTGAAGCAAATGTGTGACGAGCTCTCGCTCTCTCTTGGTGTCTATTTGTTAGAGGATTCCATCCGTGAGTGGATCATGATTGCGTTTTGTCACAGAAAAGGACAAATTCCATGTTAGAGAAGTTAGAAATATAGATTAAGCGAATGGTGACAGAAACGTTATCGAAACCACGTTAGTAACGTAAGGAATCCATCTGTCTCTCACATATATACACACAGACAGACACACACAGGTAACATAGGAGCTGTACGTATGGAGGTTTACCGTTGGTGATATTAGGAGGGATATTATACCACTAAACACATCTTCTATATGAGGATTACCAAATCTACACGAGGGACTTCAATTACGCTGAAATGAAACCACACAATCATGCACTCAGTGCTACACACTGTGTCTCTATGGCGACATGCCTGGCATTCAGAGCCACCACAACACATCTGTTAAAGCCATGCTAGACTGCATTATAACTACACGAGACTAATACACAGTAAACACACGGTACAGTGCAAGGCCAGACCAGGCCAGACCAGACCAGGCCAGACCATCGGCCACCGCCGAGGAACTGCCTCACCTGGGACCGAGACCAATAGCTCATCAGACCGGTGGAGCGGCTGGTCGTGGTGACCTGTGGCCACCAAACGCACCCTATAGGAGAGGCCCCCCTTTAAGCCCTTCAGCATAACATTCTGAGTGCCGTTCACAGGCTCTTTCTGCCACTCCTCTTCACCTTCACCTGCAGGAGGGAGGTTCATGAAGAGAGGTACGTTTGAGGGAGCAGACATGTTGAAGGGGATCATGACATCACGGGATTATGGGATCTAACGTCTACGTCTGCTGACTTGGGATTACAATACAAATAATTCTGTCTATATTAGATTGAAGATGTTAATATTGATGGGATTATGGAGTTCTAAAAGTAAATAAGTCCATGAATTCATTATTGGCCTTGAAGTGGAAGCACGCTGTAACTTAAGAAAACACATTTCCCAACTTCAGCGGGAAAAAACACCAGTAACAGGACCATTTATGGAGATTCGGTAAGTTGCACAGCATGCAACACAAATAAGTTTCAAAACAACAGAAGAGGATGATAGAAAAACACACACCTGGTTTGTAACTCATTCATGTTATAATCTGTACAATTTACTTTCTGCATCCATTTCCGTCATCTGACTCTGCAGCCGAACGGCTCACGGACGGAGACGTGAGTGGAGGCATTCTCTTCATTTAGCTTCTCTTGTGTTTCTTAAGTTGCAGCGTGTGTCGAGCTCTCGGAGCCGCCATGGATGATACATGTGGTGATGATCGAACCGTGAAATGTGTTTGATTCATGATCACAGGATTATAACATTTTCTAAGTGACTGGAAACCTATGATTAGGATTTTCCCTTACTTAAGCAGTAGGTGTGAGAGAGCCATACAACAACAACAACAACAACAACAACAAGGTTTTCCATCCTCATTGCAGGTGGATAAAAACAATTGAGAGAGCTTCAGTCAAAATTGGTTGGCGTTGTTCTGCTTTTTATGATGTTTGTTACCATCATTTCCAATGAATTTGTTAATGGGAACTTTAATCAATAACAGGCCCAGTTAATTAGACGTCCGACCACAAACGGCCTTGTTCAGCACATCTGGGTCCACGTTGGCAGGAGCCAGCGTCAACGTGGCCGCCAATGTTTCTATCCACCTGCCCGTGCCAAATGTGAAGTAGGATTCTCTTGCCACCTATGTGTGGAACTGAAATCAAGGTGTGTTGCTTCGCTTACTGTTTGTCACTATGTATTCTACATAAACGTTTTGCTCGGGGCCCCAGTAATCCCAACTGATCAGGGTGCCGTCCTCGCCGAACGAGGAGCTAACGTTCCCGAAAGGATTCACGGTCCGCGCTGAGCACACAAAGAGAAGAGACAACCGTCAACATCGGTCTGTTGGCCACAAGACAGTCCAATAACTGGCAATTAATGGCTTTCATTTAATAAATGAGGTCCCGATAAATGCTCTGCGCATCACTGAATCTGTAGCCTGCACATTTCCCCTCGGTGGGAGTGTTAAAGGATTATCTTATCTTATCTTACTGCACAATAGCAATTCAACAGGAGGACACTATGCCAGCAAAACTAAAGAATGCACAAAGCTGCTCATGTAAATATCGGACGTGTACAGGAGCACACAGCAGTATCTGTACCCTTGGGGGGCGGACGGCGTGGAGGAGACGGTGCAATGGGATGGGGGGTTTGCGTGTTTCCTGTAGACAACATGGAGAGGGGTGAAGAGCGCACCACATACGAGACACACACAGAGACGCAAAGACTTTACACAGACGCTGAAGTCCTCATTCACAATGCACACAGCTCATCGGCATGCCGAGCCAGCGCTTGTCGTGCAGCGGGAAGCATCTCTAGCAGCCGGCGCGGGAGGAAGTGAGTCAGGGGCCAAAATCGCCCCCCCGAGGCCAAAGTAAAATCAAAGGAAAAAAAAAAGACACAGCACAGACTCATTTCATTTTATCACATGGCATTTAAAAAAAGGCATATTTAATTATTATATTTGAAGAGGGGCGGCGGCGCTCAATGAGTGCGTTGCCTGCGGTGGGTTTTGAAGCTGCGGCTGTATCTGCAAAACATGCACGAGTCTAGATAGGAGCGGTACCTGCGCCCACGTCTGCGCCATGCTGTGATATTAGAGCTTGTAGAGAGAAACAGGAGAAAAAGAAACAACACGACAGGGGTCACTGGGCCCCCCCCCTTGTGTCACAGCATGTAGCAGAAACAACATTGGTGGTGCTCGTGTGGAGTGATAGAAGAGTCGATTATGCAACAACGCAACCGGAGCGCAGTCATGGTCCACTAGCCGTGGAGGAGGAGCTAACTGAATGTTGCTAAATGCTAAAAATAAAAGATAATGCTACGGAATAGTGAACATCACACATGGTAGAAGGAGAACACACAACATTGGTCTGATTCATTATCCATTAATGTCAATTTTGGGAGTTAATTGGTTTATTTCTTTAGTCTTTAAGATGTCAGAAACATGCAGATCGTCCTTTTTCACAGTTTAACTAAGCACTTTACGATTGCCTGTCTTAGTCTAATGTAAAAACAGCAAAATTTGGGGATTTGAGACGATGGAACCTGGCAAATGTTTCCATCGTTCTAGAATAACCATTACCACCGTCATACAAAAGCAAGGTACTTAAACCATTTACTGAACTGATTATAGTGAACTGAAGCGTTGACGTCGTACTTTTTAAACATAATCCATAAATGAATTGCATGTTTGGATTTCCTAATCGACAAAAACAATTCGGGTCAAACAGTCTGCTCACGTACCTTCGTCCATGACGGTGACAGCTTCCTCAGAAATGGGCGGCCCGGCTCCCCTGACCGTTATCGCATTCAAATAAAACTTGTAGCGCGTGCTGTACTTGAGGTTGAGCAAAGTGAGCGAGGTCTCGTTGGCCGGCAGGGCCAGCTCCTCCACTGGGCCCAGCTCATTGGAGTCATTGACTACAGGGATGGAGGACGGGTGGTGGGGGGTTGGGAAGCAGGGGGGTGAGTAGAATGGAGGCGTGAGGGGAGGGGGTCGTCAATGATAAGAAGGGTGGGATATGAAATGAAAACGTTTGGGGCAGAGAGATGAGGGGTTCAGGAGCAGAAGACGGGAGTGACAGAAGTCGATTTGTTAATTTGTGTTGTAATTTAGGCAAAATAACTCTTTGTGCTACTTGATGACGTTTCCTGTGAACAGGGTGACACTACAAGACAAAACAAGAAGAACATACAAATGTAGGAAACTACAGAGATGTAGAGGTCCTGAAGGGAAGAGCCTCACCTGGCTGATATCTGAGGGTGTAGCCAGTGATGTGTCCATTACGCTCATGAGGAGGACTCCATTCAAGGGTCAGAGAGTCCAGGTTGGGGTTGCTGACCCGCAGAGAAGAAGGAGCACTCGGCACTAGCAAAAAACACACGTACCATTGGACATTAATATTCAATATTTGACATTTTTATGTTCTTCAACTTTCTCTGGGCTCAACTCAAAGTCTTAAACGGGGAGGAGATTAAGTGGGATTTAATGATATCACGACTTTGAAGCTAATCGAGTGCGATTTGGAGACTTGAAACCTCAAGTGCTCCGCACACACACACACACACACACACACACACACACACACACACACACACACACACACACACACACACACACACACACACACACAGTCAGTCTCTCTCGTACATGCACTAAAAAAAGAAACTCGTCTCACCTCCTTCGGGTGTCACAATCTGATGGTTGGGGCTGGGGGGGCCCTCCCCCTTGCCGTTATAAACCCTGACATTGAACAAGTAGAGGCTGAAGGGGTGCAGGTCGGGCAGCATTCTGCGTGTGTGGTTCCCACTGAAGGTCAGGATCTGGCTCTTCACAAGGTGGGGGTTGTGTTTGTGGAGGCTGTGCTCTTTCCAGTAGTACACCTGTTACAGTTACACAGTTAGCATACAGTAAGAGTTGTGTGTCTTGTGGTATGTTGGACTGATGCACATGTTACTACGTGTGTCCTTGTGGACGTACCTTATATCCTTTGAGGTGTCCTCGTATTAATTTAGCGGGCACAGGATCCCAGTGTACCTCTGCCAGAGTGCTGTTTAGCAACACGGCCTGCACGTTGTCTGGAGCGGCTACTGGCACTGTGCAACAGACAAGCAACGGCTAAACACACGAGGGAACGTACCGAGGAAACCATTCACCGCGCCAGACGATTGCACATTTTTAAGGGTCAAAAGAGTCGACGTGACTCACAGTCCTCGCCGGAGTAGCCGTGGGCGACAGCCGGCTCGGGTCCGGCCCCGTGGTCGTTCACTGCCTGAACCTTTAGCTCATAAGGAACGAATGTGGGCGTTCCAGACACAACAAACTTGGAGTTGTTGGCCACCGTCACTGTGGTCCAATCGCTGTCCACCACCTTCTGCCTCCACATGACTTTGTAGTGGAGCCCGGGGCCGTTGGCCTGCAGGCCCGACAGCGGCTGCACAGGAGAAACCAGTTTTAAATGGAACCCAATAACTGTACAGCATGATGTATGTGGTCTCATAAGACCAGGAAGGATCGCACTTCACGGCACTAAGATACGTTTGTCATGGGGCTCCCTGGACAACATTTAAGGCTTCAGGAGTTAAACAGATGGCTTTAAACTTTATTACCTTCCATGAGATTACAAGATTATCATGTTCTGTTCCGAACCCCTGGACACCTGTTGGGTTCTCGTCCGGAGCTAAAACAAATAAAGACAAAATGAAACGCTATCTCACAGGAAACCTTAAAACCTTCACTAAGCCTGATGCAAACGCCTTCTCACTCGTTTATTGACAAAACTGTCATGAATTAGAAAATATAATATAATAAACATAATATAAGTGGATTATTTGTGTCACATCGTGGCATTTGTACCTGCAGGTTCTGTCTTAACCATCCTGGAGGGGAAGCTGGGGCGGCTGAAGTCCACAGCGTTGAGGGCCAGCACTCTGAAGGTGTAGTGGATGTAGGGGGACAGCTTGAGGTGAGCCGTCGTCCTGGTGCCGGGGACCTCGGTGAGATTATGCCAGTGACCTCGGTGGTGCAGGAAGTCTTCATACTGGATCAGAAATTCTGTGTAGAATATTCAAAAGGATGGTTTCGTACAGAGCCGGGAACTTGACAGTATATATATATTTATATATATATATATATAACCTGTACTTCATTACAGCCTCCTTTACATTACAGCCTTTGGTTGTTTTTTATGTTTTTCCAATGAATTTTCCAGACAATATTTTCTTCACATATTCAATGTAAAAAATGGAATCAAAGGTGAACTCAGCGATTTGGTTTTGCATCCTGAGAGTCCGAGACATCCTCACTGCTAGTCCGTGTATAAAACAAGCTCCAAAAAGGCTTGACCTCACAATTCCCATAATCTTTAATTAGAGCCCCCTACATGCCCACTTCTTTTAATTGACATGACACAATGTTTTGCCTTTGGAAGATGACAAAACTATATTCATATGTGAACGACAGATACACCCTGATGCAAATACACTTCAGACATACTTTGAATAGGACTGTTATGTTCATCCCCTGGGATCCAAGTCAGCTGGACGCTCCTCTTTTTCTGGTCCGTCAGCTCCAGGTCAGTTGGGGGGTCGGGTCGCTCTGCGGGGGGGGAACAGCACAGGCAGCAGCATCAACACACAGTTACAGTTTCCCGAACGTGGACGGTTCATGCCACGAGAAGCAAAAAACAAAGTGTGACTGGTTACATATTTGTTTCTTGTATCATAAGAGTGTATCGGTTTAACAAAGCCTCTCCGTTTCCTTACGTGTGATTTGTGCTCTGTGACACACATGCAGATGCTGCATCATGCAAATGAAACGCCTGATCACTCTGCATGAAATAGAGTCTCGGGCTCATCAGAGAGGTTAAACTGATGCTCATGTTTTGGAATTGTAATGATCTAGTGAAACGCAAGCTTGGAATGAATTAATCACGAAGAAATGGCGCATTTGAAAAGAGTCCAACCGGCGCTTTCTGCAGAGATCTGCTTTCTGAATGATCTTGGTATGAGTGGTTTCTTACTGCCTTTTTCTTCTAAATGTTTAACATGTAATGCACTCACACTTTGTGCACCTTTGTCAAAATGGAAAAAACATACCAGTAATAAAAAATCAAAATAAAGACGTTGAGATGAAAATAAATCAATATAACGAAATGCACAAAAACGCTGTGATTGTCTTTGGGCGACAACATGCTTCACTTTACAAAAACATCCATCTGCGTGCTTTCGTGTTCCCCAGGTTTACCGTAGACAACAGCTGGTGTCGTGGCCTCTGCCGGGGGGTGGGGGGGCCGGGGGGGGGCAGGAGTGAAATTAGGGGTTTAGTGTTCAGTCAGCCATAAGAAAACAAAGAAGATTATCTGACTCGCTAAGAAGACAACAATCCAATATTCATGCCGCCGACACGGCAGCTGACTAAAGCCGTCCTGACCCTCTTAAGTAAACTCTCAGGCAATTGACCTTGAAGGGCTCAAAGGTAATCCGTGGTGTCAGTTTTTGGGGGAGGAAAGAGCTGAGTTGGGCAGAAGTTTAAAGCTTGAACCATTTGAATTTGAGCGCCGGCGAAGCCGAACATACCGACGACAGTGAGCTCGGCGCTGGCCGAGTCGTGGTCCAGGGTTGTGTTCATGATGCAGGTGTACACGCCCGCGTCGCTCTCGCTCACGTCGACGATGGTGAGGCTGTCGGAGTCTACGATTAATCTGCGAACAAAGACGTTTTACAGACCGTTCAGCAGTTATCAAATCCGTTATCATGATGCAGACCGAGCTCGGGCCTGAGAAGTGACCCTTCAGCGGGCGGCTCGGACCTCTCGTCGTCGGGCAGCTCTCCGTCGTCCTTCAGCCAGGTCATGGTCGGGATGAGCGAGGGGTCATGCTTCACCTTACACTCAAAGACGGCGGACCTGCCCAGCTGGACCACTTTGTACTCCGGCTGCTTCAGGATGCGGGTGGGCTCTGGTGGGAGAGGAAGTATCGGCCTCATCAGTGTCAACAAACACACGGCATATGTTTGAGTTATTATTATTTTGCTAACAAAAGATTTTTTTCTTAAACGATCAATAACCATTTTGGTGATAAAATGTCCATTTTTGTAGAAAAGCAAGGTAATAAAAAGTAGTATATATTTCTCCAGGATTTATTGTTTAAAAATGTTTTTTTCAATTGACTTTTCTCGTGGATTGTCAATTAAATGATGGCTAATTTGAGGGGGAATCATTGGTGATTCTTTACTTTATCTGAGGTAACATAGGCACCGTAACCACAAATGTTTCACGCATTTACTTTAATAGTGATATTGTACTTTTACCACAAACATCCTATTGCAATGGCATCGTCTGCTCTCCCTGGGTCTCACCTTTGACCTCCAGATAGATGTGATTCTCGTAGATTCCGAGGCTGTTCCGGGCCACACATGTGTATTTGCCACTATTGTGAGCCTGAGCCGTGTGGATCTCTAGAGTCCCGTTGTCATGCAGGACGTAAGGGTCTCCATCGAGGGTACTGGACCGACTGTCTTTGAACCTGAGACGGAGAAGCAGCCGCTGTGACCTTTTGGAGCGGCACACAACACTTTCCTGGGTTAAAAGGTCCTCAACTCACCATGTGATTTTAGGGATGGGCGACCCGAAGGAAGCGCAGTCTATGGAGGCCTGCCGGTTTTTGATGACCTGGTAAACTTTGTTGTTCTGTGTCAGCACTCTGGGCGGCTCCGCTGCAGCATTTACCACCACGTTATTTATCACGCTGCGGAAATCAATGTGCACGGAGAACAGAGATGCACTTCTAATAGAAATGGATCTCGGGGAATGAACTTACAGAGCACATTGACGAACGCGTTGGACAGCAGGTAACCGTAGTCGTTGGAGACATTACACTGGTAGACGGCGCTGGACCCCGCCTGCACATCGGTGAAGATGATGGTGTCGTCCTCCACCTTCCTGCTGAGGTCTTTGGGGGAATCTGTTAGTGGATAACAGAGGTTACGGACGCAACTTTGAATTCCCCACGAATCTTATTGAGAAGATATTTTCTCATTTATTTTCTCATTTAAAATGCACTTAAAGTAATGTCGGCTGCTCTGCGTTGAAGCAAAAAGTTCAACCTTTGGTAGAAATGTATCCTTGCTTTTTTTTCTGCCTCCATTGTAGAAGATGTGAAAATATAGTTTAAATCACTACTAAAAGTCAGATTGCTGAAATGGTGTACAAATAATAATGTGAAATGACACCAGCTGCTTTAACACGAATGAGCCCCACAGACGGGGGAGCAGGTTGCACTCACTCTCGATGGGGATGCCGTTCATGGCCCAGGACACGGAGGGCTTGGGCGTCCCGCTGGCCCTGCAGGTCAGCACGCTGCTCTCTCCTGGAGCCAGGACAAGGTTCCTGGGGGCACCGCTGATCCAATATGGAGCAGCTGAAAATAGAACCGAGCGCCGCAGAATTAATCACCGAACGCACCGTGTGCATGAACCCATCGTGAGACGGGGCCCGACGGGATGCGCCGCGCTGCATCACGCACACACCTTTGACCGTGACGCGGATGGTTTGGTGCACCGAGCCCAGCGGATTCCGGGCGGTGCAGCGGTACTCTCCCGCGTCCGACTCCGACACGTCCACGATCCGCAGCGTCTTGTCGTAGTGCAGGAAAGACGTGCGCTTGGTCGGGAGCTCGCCGCTCACTTTGGCCCAAGATATCTCAGGGGTGGGCCTGGACTCAAACAGGAAGAGAGAGAGAGAGGCGGGCGAGACAAAAAGAGATGAGGACACTTGAGCAGGTGGACACTCGAGGCTTCCTGGGCTGCAGTAATAGCGGCGTCTTCACTTACAGTCCTTCGGCGATACACTCCATCTCCAGCACCTGTCCTCTCAGAACGGTCTTGGAGCTGGAGGGGCCGGACGGGATGAGGAAGTTTGGCTTCCTCTCATCTGCTGGCTCTTCTATGGTTGCACGCACAGATTCACAAAGAGAACCATTAGTGAGTGATCCAGGCCTTAGACGGACCCTTCACAATCACAATCCCTTTCTTCTCTTCTGTATAATGTAACTGCTCTCCTACAACAGGTCTGCAATGAACGGGCACGCAGCCACTTCATTACAAAAGCCACTCGCATGTTTTATGGTTTGATTGCAATTTGACTGTTATGTTGTGTGTAATTGCATCGCTTTCTGAGGGTGTTTATGGCCCTCTGGGGTCATTATATAAACTGGAATTCATCCGATGTGGAATGGAGAATTTGAGACCCAAAGATCTGCTTTCTGCTACAGAATTTGTTAAGAAGTAATCAGCTACACCAATAATAAAAGATAAAAAACTTTTGATGATGATGGTAATTCATTAAAACCATGTCATGTGAGCAATACAACAAGAAACTGCTTGCGTGTTTGGGGATAGAAAATGTGGGTTCAAGTTCCCAAAAAGACACAAAGAGAAATATATTTTGAACAATGTGAAAAGAAGAGATATGAAAATGATTACAGAGAGATTAACAAATAGGTGTGCTTTTAAAATGACGTAAGCGGGTAAAGAGAGATTTTGAAAATGAAAATGGCAGCCAGCTGTTTCTAAGGACAGGCAAAGAAAAAAAAGAATTTGAACGTATCTATACTTAAAAGAGATGTATTAAGCGCCAATGAACTGGTTATCTTTATCAGAAGACGTGTAATACACGTAAAGTATTACTTAATCACTCCATTTTAATTAAAATGCCGTTCTCAGACCTCGAGTCTGCACAGATGTTGTTACCAGTTACGTAATCAGCTCAGTCGACATTGGGATCATCATGCAGTGCCGGTTTGAGAAGCTCACAGGAGGAAGGGAAGAGTTATCAGAGGGAGTTTTGATTGGAAAGAGCAGGAGGGGCAGGAGATGGAGATTTAGGCGTTTAGTGGGACACCATTAAGTTTCAAGCTGGATGTTGGTGGGTAAACACCAGAGGGTGCCAAATCAGCGAGGGGGGGTGTGGGGGGGGCATCGGGTGATCCGGGAGAAGGGTTAGTGTTAGTGGGTAGAAGCTAGAGTTTGGAGCTCTACGTTGGAAGGGGGGGTGGACACCAGGGGGCGCCAAAACTCACCACTAAATAAATCAGTGTCATTGTAAAAAGCTGCCATTGTGTCATTGATTGCATCCACTGCAACACAACAAAAGAATCACACACGCAACAAGTTGAAATCAGCAGGCAAATGGGGGAAAAAAAAACACAACAAATTAACATGAGTGTTCAGAATCAAAACCAATCTTTTTAACGTCTCAAAAGTCGGGCGATGAGTAATGCTAATCATTCATAAGAACTACTGAAGCCTAAACGCTAAACGCTTCCCTGAATGAGAGCCGCCTTTGTTGTTGGTGGAGAGTGCGTGTACAGAATAAAATGAAGGGCCGCCTGGCAGACAGCGCTGGGAGCCATGAGAGCTCTGACAATGTGTCTCTTCAGTGGGACGACGACCACTGGCGTCTCCCAGGACGGGATCACAGATAGGAAAGGCTGCTTGCCTCCTACGCACTCACACCAGCACATACTGCAGCAAATGAACGGGCTCTCACACGGGCACATTACACTCCTTGCTCTCCAGTGATGCTCCCTGATTGCCCACGCGTTCACTAAGTCTCTCTCTCTCTGTGACTTACGGTTGAGGACCTTGACAACGATGGGTTGTTTCTGCTGGATGGTCTGTGTGTACGGGAAGCGGGCGTAGCAGATGTAGTCGTTCCTGGAATCCTCTTGGAGCACATTGGAGAAGTACAGGTCTCCGTTCAGGGACTGGGACACCCTGGCGCTCTGCGGCAACCTCTGGAAGTCTGAAATGTACAGCAAATTGGATCATGTTGGGTAAAGTGGGTCTTTAATCAACACATTTAATGAATCAAATAATAATTGACTAATTTAGTGTTATTAAGCTTAATTTAATGACCATTAGCGGCCTTTGGTGCTCAACATTAACAACACATTTTCCATACTAATGTTTGTAATGTGAAAGGAGCCCGGTCATAGAAAAGAACACTGTGTGTTTTAATGCAGCCAAAAGGTTCACTTCTATGACAAAAGAGCTCACAATTGTCCATCCAGAAGATAATGGGAGGAGGGAGGCCGGCAGGAGGTCGACACCGCAGCACCAGAGACCTGCCCTCCGAAATGACGATTGGATCGACTCTCTCCTTGGACCACAAGGGGGACCCTGCATCGGTGGGACAAGGACACACAGTCGGAAATTAAAGATGGGCTGCTAATGGACTGTCGCCGACATGAGGACAAATGGGATGAGGCAGAATGAGAGGGATGATGCCGAACTCAATAGCAATTTGGCAGAAGGGGAAATACAAAAGGGATATTCGCTCGATCTTACATCCTACAGGCAACTTTTACCTTCCAGCAGAACTCTTAAGATGGAAAAGGCAACTTAAATGTTAGAAAAAGAAAAGAAGAAAAGAACGATGAGAGAAAGATGTGACATATGCATGAGAAAAACAGATGACGTGATAGACGGGCCTGTACTTACTGGACTGTTGTACGACGATGTTGTTGGAAACAGCAGTTCCGTGTTTGTTCCTCGCTGTGCACTGGTACACAAACTCGTAATGCTCGGCCTTCGCTCTGCTGATGTCCACCACCAGGGTCCCGGAGTTGGGCTTCATGGTCACGTTGGGGTCTTCATCGATGTCAAAGTGGGTCCCATTTCTGGTCCAGGAGAAACTTAGGTGGGAAACAGACCAGGTTCATGATAGTGAGACAAATTGTGTTATAATAATCGCACTGAATAGTGCGTCTTCTCTAGTTCTTTCCTTGTGGTTCATTCTGGATAATCTTTACTCCAAAATCATGAAATAAAAGGCCCTGAAAGGCTCCATCATCTTCTTAAAATAAGTAATCCAGTCCGACATGCACTCATTTCCCCTGGTAAGCAGAGCGCACTCATAGAAATAAAAGCACACACACACACAGTCCTGGTAAAGCGTTTTGACTGTAAACTCTAACATTGATTTAATGTTAAAAGAGAAATTGAAGAGAAATTCATGACAGATGCGTTTTAAAACCACCTGTCAATCTCTTTTGCAGTCGCCGGGCTTCACTTCTTCAAAGAGGTGTTTAAGGGTCACACAAGAGTACAAAGTACGGTGCGTTTGCTCGCAGTGTTGGTGGCAGAGAAATAATCAGCTACAATCAACCATTGGAAAGGGCAGCGAATTAAATCCCTTCTTTATTCATCGCGGCTTGAATGAACCACCAAGTGTACAACTCCCGTTCAGAATGAAAGTGACTCGTACCTGGGGTGAGGCTTGCCCTTCGCCTCGCAGTGGATTATAATGTTCTCCCGTGGGTCGATGATGTAATTCTTGGGGGATTGGTGAGTTATGGTCGGTGGCTGCGGCACTGAAGGCGATCAGAAACAGGGTGATATTTAATCCTGACCTTTTACTGCATAACTAAGCATTTTTCTGTAGCTGCGTTGACCACACAAGCAGCCATTACCAATCACATGCAGACTTACCACACTGAATCAAACCAGACGGCTGTTTGCTGACAGACACGAAAACGCTCTCATAATACGAGCAACAGCAAAAAAGGCCCATGCGGCACGTTCAGGTACATTTCCCTTTATTGTAATGATCCAAGGCGTAATGTATTCCTGTCAGTGCTGGGGAAATAACTAATGGACTATGACAAAACAAGTGATACGCATGCTTTTAGCAATAATGATCTAAGGAAAACACTCTGCAGAAACACAAAGAGCAAACGGAGAACAGATCAATGCATGCAATATGTTTGAGTCCACTCCAAATCACACAACTTAAAACAAAAAGAAGACTGAATATAATACAAAAAAAAAACGTTTTTCAAAAACGGCAGAACATCCTCCGCAGTGAATGCACACTAGTTCGGGACTTACATCCTTCCAGAACTTTAGTGTTCCCCAAGAATCAGCAAGAGAAACATTGTGATAGTAAACAGAACGAGACATTAGTGGAAGAAAAATATCTCGCTGCATTATTTCACCTTCAAACACGCTGTAGTTTAAACAATGCCAGTTGCCAGATATGCAAAACCTCCACGCAAACAGTATGTGGACGATCTACTGCAGCAGAGTGTTCCACATTGTAAGGTACTAAGGAGGAACAATGTTTGTTCACAAAACCAAGAGAGCATTTCCTGCAAAAATAACATACGAAAACAGGAATTGGTCCTCGATAATTATTTCTATAATTTCTTTGTCTTCTAACTGAAGAATATTTAAACACTTTAGGCAAAATTCCTATTTACTTAATCGGCAAGAAGTACATGAAATGCCTGAAGCAACCTGCTGTTTGTATGCTAAATATGATCCTGAAAACAGCTAATTAGAAGAGTACAGTCACAGTACACATACAAGTATGTTGTTTTGTCCAAAATAACGCTCCAAATCCCAAACATATTCAGTTCACTGACTTGGTGCATTCGTGCGTTTACACCCTCTTAGCTGTGGATCGTGCTGTGGTGTGCGTTGTGTTGCCTTACGGTCTAGAGGCACCTCCAGCGCGGTGGCGAGGTGCACCAGGAACAGCCCCAGCAGCGCCGCGTCCATCCTCCTCCTCTCCATCATCGGTGTGTGACGTGAAGGTCTGCGCCCAAATACAGCAAGGCCCCGCCTCTCTGCTCAGTCACGCCGTCTGTGGACACGAGCTCCTTCACAACTACAGGGCGAGAGAGAGAGAGAGAGAGAGAGAGAGAGAGAGAGAGAGAGAGAGAGGAAGAGGGGGCGTCACAGAGGAGCAGAGAATACTGGGTTGGATAGCACACCCCGACGCCGCTTCTGTCAGTCCTCATGCTGACTGTGTTCTGTTTTGTGACAGAGAGAGACACGCGTGGCTCTGGCCACAGATCAATGCTGGTTTGCCGTCGCAGTTTGTCGATCTGTTGCGCTCCAGCGCGGCTCACTTTGCCCACCGCCGTGGCCATCGATGCCACTGGGCCTCTCTGCCCCCGTCGATCACGTCAGCCGGCAGATGACCTGCCATGGGACGGAACGCGGGGACTTTCCACTTCGCTCTCAGCTTCGTGGGTTGGATTGACTGACTGAGCCCGGGGGGGGGCGGGCGAACTGATCCGCAACGAGGTCGGATTTCAGGCGGCGAACCATCGTTCCGTCTGGGAGACTCATCAGCAGATCTCTGTCATCTCAGTGGACGCCCTTCACTGACGAAAGTGGTGTCAAGTTCAACGGGGAGTTCAAGTTCAATCAAGGTGACTTGTTCACAGGTTTTCCAAATGGTGAAAGGCTAATTGGCTATTGATTAACTAAATGGGGTTGGGGTTCTATTTTCCTTTGTTACACAATACAACCCAATTATGCCTCCATCACAACATCAGTGCGCGCTGTGAATAGACTGGAAACAGACATGTTTGTAGTGTGCTGACATCTTACTCCTGTTGCCAGGCAGCTCAGAGTCGCCGAATCTCGCCTCCATCCAACCAGCAGCAATTATTTAGAGACTAAGCTCGAATGAAAGCAAAATGCTAATGTTGAAATAATCACTGGCAGGGTCATCAAAGCCGGCGTGACCCCGTGATTCAGAGAATAACTCTCAATTTAATTCATACTCATCTGCATAATACAGCCGTGCCTCGCAGAACGGAGCAGCACAATTCCTTGTCCTCGCGTCAGTGTGAGCGCAGCTCACAAATGACCAGCAAAGCGGGCGAGACGGAACACAGCGGGAGTCTTTGAAAAGCTACAGCACGACCTGTTTCCGCGCCTGATCTCCTGCCTGCCTGTCTTACCTCGGGCATCCGTTGGCGCAGTATTAAAATGTCACAGCTTCATTTGGAGCTCAGGCAGACTCATTTGCTGCGTTATCAGGAAAGAGCACACTATCAAATTCGGAATGCTAATGCTGGTTATTGTAAGAGAGAATCAAACGGAGCCCATTAGGAATGGTGCTGCCTGTGTGTGTGCAGGGGGGGGGGGGGGGGGGGGGGAAGGGGGGGGGGGTTCAGGGCTGCAGAGAGCCGTGTCTGGGACCAGAGGCTAGATAGTTAGACCCAGGCCTGGTTCTCCTCTGGGATCTGATGTATTTGTTATTGCCGCCCTGCGGTCATGATGGGCTCCGGCGCCTGGTGGCACGGGAAGAGGCCGAGGCTGCCCCCGGCTTCCACTACACCTCTCCAGGGAAGCCGTGTATCATGTCAAACAGCAGTGCGCGATGGGCCCCGGGCAGCCAATCACACGTTGACATTGACATTAAAAGATCCAGGAAGGGAAGCGAGGGGCTGATTTCAACGGGCTGAGGAGGAGGGGAGCAGAAAACCTGCAGCACACACAGTCCGCTGTTCTGCAGTTGTTCATGTTCATGCAATATCCACCGATGGCAATACGCTATGCATTGCATTGTTATGATTTTCTCTGTGTCATATCCAGTTGAATTTAAGGAATTTGTTAATAGGGGTATAATATCGGAACATGGCAATGAAAAGTCACAGGTGAAGAAAAAAACAAACAAACTGAGGAGCAGAATAAATCTGTTAATTATACGTCTTATGGTGAAACTCGAAAGCCAAGTGATTCTTATCTGGAAAGGAGCCAGGGCTTCATCCAGGATTCATTTCCCAATTTAATGAGGTGTAGCAGCTCAGCTCAAGCCGGTCAGCATGTGTGTGTCTACGTGTGCATATTTATACGTGTGTGCCTGCATTCACTGGCGTGCTATAAGGAACCCTTACATCGCTCAAGTGGGGCTCTTAAGATGTGAAACTAACCACCGGGGCCTGAACATCCTGCACGACCGGCGAGCTTACAAATGATTTAGCTAAACTTAAAATAAGTAGCGCTGTATTCAAGTTGTCAATTCAAAAGCCTTCACTTAACCGATGTAGCATGAGGCGGAAGCTTGCAGAATGAGTGTATCCTGAGTGTCTGAGAAGAAGACAACGCAGAACAAAGCCCACTTTTCGATTGAATGTACGATTCTTCGAGGGGACGCGCAATCGGAAAATACCTCTTGAAATTGTTGAACTTCCTATGCATCTCGTGCTGACGGAACTGGAAAAGCCAAAGTCAATAAAGCTCACTCGGGCACAGACTGCTGAGGCCGAGATAAAAAAAAACAGTAGTGTTTTGAGTGCCGTGCCGAAAGCTGTCAGACTGCTGATGAAATCAAACAGATGTGTCTCTTAGAAACATGGCAGGTTGCTTCCAGCGAGGAATATAAACTATTTTTCTAAATAGAAGAGGCCAAGCACATGACAAACAGAGCTACTGAATCACTTTAAAAAATCGACCTACCTTGGTTTTTATGAAATGATCAAATGCATGCAAAACCCCCAAAATGACCTTTAAATGTCACCACATAACCCAATCAGCTACCAGTGTTAATTACAGTCTGTAACTGAATACGACCACCTTCACTCGGGACTTGGTGTTCTCTGCGTTAACTTTGTCCGTGGAGAAAACACTCACTCATTCAGACAATTACTCCATGTCATTTTTTCAATGCGCAGCTACTTCACCATCCAAAAGCAAATTGGTTTTGTGCACATGTGAGAGCCGTAGGACATTGCAGCCACACACACACAGACAGACACACACACACACACACACACACACGTAGGCAACATATGCACGCACGGCGGCTGCAGAACGTGGGGGTCAGGACGTGTCGGAGCACACAGATGGAGCTGACGGGGGCACGAGCTCTGGAGAACTGGAACACACATCGTGTAAATGAATAGCAGTCAGGAGGGAAAAGGTCCATTTGAAATTCTCTTGCAGCAACAGATAATACTATCCTCCATATCGTTTAATGCAAAACGCTAGTGAAGGTATTGCCATTGTCTGTGCCAAACAACGGTGACGAAACTCTGCAACACCGACAGAATCCCTTCTGTTGCAGCAGCATTGTGCACAGTTTTAATATCTATGATGAAAGAAAAGTCCTTCTCTCGTGCCAAGCACCCTAATTAACTCCTATAATCAGTGGTATTGATGGATCAGGAAATGGGAGGTGGGCGTCGAGCCTCGGTCTGGACTTAATGGAGCAGCAGGGATCCGCTGCAGACGGCTGAATGTAGGGGCACGACGACGAGAAGGACTCGCATTCAGAAAACGGATGCGCTTTATTTTCCCGCTGCAGCTCAGGATGCCCCCCGCACGGTATTCGCGGCCGGGGGCTGCGTGCCCGTTTCTCTGTTCCGTTATCATCGATGGGGGAGCGAAGGTTGCTTGAAAGGCCTTGATGGAGAAGGAGATGGTGAGCAATTCCTTCATTTGGTTTGGAAAATCACAATCATAATTAGCCCAGAATATAATATATTGTTGTATGTTGCACAGTCTTCAGTTGCTCTGCTATGGATTCACAGTTAATGTATTTGACATTAGCCCACTTACATATACAGCCAGGCTGAATGCTCGGTAGCTTTGACTAATACCCCTCACAGGGCTTGTATACGCAGCTACGCGACCACAATGGTAAATTCCCTGGGCCGGCTTCGGCGTGCTTTTCAATAATCCTCTCATTAGCTTTTATAATTGGGGGACCGTATGCAAATAATTGGTGTGGTTAACATATGAATTGGGGTCTTGTTGTTCAGGGAGACCCCACAGCTCAAAAACATCCCGTCGGCCTTTCATCTGCGCCGTACAATGCCGGACAAGCAAGAGAAGACCTGGTGCACCGTGAAAACGGCCCCGTCCGGTCTCTCTTTTACTGGATGTTAACTGCAAGATAAAAGTAGTTTTGATACGTGGACATCTGAACCAAAGTAGTTGTACAAGTCCGGATTAAAAACACCTTCACCAACCATGTGTTACCTTAAAGAAACCTGGTTTGGGGTTTGCCTTTTGAAGGAAAGCATGTAAGTTAAACAGTTAAAAATGCAGAGCGTTTGATGAAAAGGCTCCACTATGGGATGAATTTGAAGAAGTAACAATCTGTCTTTTGGGGGGGATTTTTCTGATTTTGATCATTCTGGATAAACTGGAGCAGCCCTTTAAAGACATGTTGCTCTGTTCTATAAATCGCCCCCCGCCCCGGCTATCAAGCTTCCATAACTCTTGATGCTAGCGGACATCTGCCACTAACGCGACGTGTCCGGTGATTTGTTTGGTCCGCCTCCTTTCACAGAGCGCCGCGCATTGCCATTCACTAAGCTTCCTGCGTGTACACGCCAAAAACACTCGGGGATTTGCTCTCTGTCCCTTCTGCCCAAATGCTAATCACTGCCGGCGCCGGCACTTCTGAGAGGGCACTCCTCTTCAGCATGCAGATGGAAGCGGCGCCGCTGGATGGGGGGGGGCGGCGGCTGTGTGAGAGAGGAAATCCCTGCCCAATCAAGCTGAACGGTACCGAAGGGCGTTTTGCTTTCATCCTACCGCTGCAGAACAGCGAGCTATGACATGCCCTCACATTACACCAGCGCTCCTTCTGGGGACAGTGGAGGCGCGTGAGGCCCCCTCGTCCTCCTGAGGGTAACCGTCAGATCAGAGGTCTTTCAAATCTTCTCACTGCCTCACCATCACAACGTAGCAAATGCAAGGAATGATTGGCCAATAAGGAAGCAATGTTGTAAAAGTCCCCAGGGTGCGTTTGTGTGCTTGTCTGACCCCTGACCTCTAGAGGAGTATCAAGTGAGTGGAGGCGCTTCATTAAAATGAGATCAGAAACACGAGGCTGAACTGAGGGTCTGAACTTGATCTTTA